AAAATGAACGGTTGGCAAGAAGGTTGACATTTTAAACCTTAATTAAAAATCGATACAGGGCTTTAGAATATCGATACAGTATCAGGAAACGAAATATCGCGATATTTCAGTGTATCGATATTTTCTTACACCCCTATTTTCCAGGTAAACACAGCCTGGTGAGGACTCACTATTCCTTATTGGGAAAAAGCCTGGTCCCCATTAGGGGAAATACTGTTAGTAGGTCGGGGTTTGGATTTAGGGTAAGGGGTCAGGGTTAGGCTATAGAAATGAATGGAAATCAATGCAAAGTCCCCGTGAGGATAGAAGAACAAACGTGTGTGTGTCTGTGTCCAACTCCTGAGCACTATTACAAGTCAGCTTGTAATAAAAGTTCATTTTCGTGCTACAAAAGAACTATTTCTTCTCCAGTGTCAAAGAGGACACATTCAAAATGCAATTTTTTAGCCCATAAATGTATTTTGATGTGTAGTTTGAKGTTTAGGAGTCTCTAGAAGTGCAGAAAAGTTTTAATTTAGTCTCTGCTGCATAGATATCTTTATGTTCTGTTTGGGTCATATTTTTCAACCTGTTAAGTTTTCTCTATTTTTTATGATGTTTTCTGAACWATTAAGTCACATCATTTGTGACRTAACTGCCAAATGAGGTCTGGACTTRCCRACTATTTGATCGTCTTCATTCTCCTCTGGCTCAGGATCAGACTCCAGCATGTAAGGCTGGATGGAAAAGCCCATCGTTTACTAATTTGTAAATAAAAAGTTTCTGCACTGCTACATATGCATAAAAACCCTCTTATCAAGGTACAATGGATCGCTCTGGGTACTGGAGGTGGGCGGGGTGTGAAGCACCTTGTTTGGATTTAAAGAGACAGCCTCAAAACAATTGATCTGAGACACAACTCAGCAAACGGGTGAAAGAGGGGCTTGTGGAGTTACAATGAGGAATTCAGACCACAGCATTACAGTTCCACTTTACATAGAGCCTAGATGAATGATTTAAATGTGAAAAAGGATTTAAAAGCATATGTCCACTTTTAAAGGCTGCAGTGTTTCATGAAATGTTAAAGTATTCTGAACTATTGGAGCAGTTTTATAAAATATCTAAGTTCATCCCATTTATCTGCTGACAGTTACCATGCCAACATGAACTCAATTATGTGATGAGAGCATGAAGTTAGTTCAATTTGCTGTGTCTATGGGAAGCTAGTGTCAGAGTAGAATATTGTCTGCTGGTGAAAGGCAAAGGCAGGTTTTGCCCATGTCAGAAGTCTGCATGTTAGCAAAATATCTCCTGAACCACTGGACAAATTTGAACAAATTTACAGAATTTACAGAAAGCAGTCATGGTTGATGGTCCTCTTTTGCATGAGAACTACCTGTTTGTCCACCATGTGCGAGGCATTGCTTATAAGGCTGAGTTCGCCTGAAACTCTCTTGGAGGAGAGATGAAACGTTTCATTAAAGAAGAACCCRTCCAGAAGAGAAGAGGTTATCTGCAAAATCAAAGTGGGCGTGTCACAAGAGTGGGCGTGTCTAAAGCATAAACACTGGGCGACGAGGCCTACATGATGGTATCTTTAGACCCTGCTTGACCTCTTTACAGCCTGAGCCTGACCCCAACACTAAGGTTAACCAGGAGAAATGTGACCCAAGTAGGGTTCTCCAGAAAAAGTGGTGCTGTACAGTGACGCCCCTTTTGTTCTTGTCCAATCAGGTGGTGCCGTACAGTATCGTCCCTTTTTTGCTTGTCCAGTCAGGTGTGTCCCTTTAAAAAAGTCTGTCAAACCAGGTGTGTCGCTTTAGAATCGCCTTTCGTTGGGACGCCCAATCGTCCGCAGAGACCCCTACTTGGTCCAGAAGACCTACTTAATTTTTTAGAGGGCGGGGGGTTGATACTATTCCTTGAAGGTGCTTCAAGCCCCACCCCACCTCCAGCTTCCAGACCAGTCCACTCCAGCTTGAGAGAGGGGGGTTAGCCTTTTCTAGCAGTGCAGAAATGTTTTATTTACAATTTAATTAAAATATGTCAACAAGGGAAGACTTGTCCATCCAGCCACAGTCTGACCCAGAGCCAGAGGAGAATGAAGATGACCAACTTGTAGTTGGTAAGTCCAGACATTATTTGGCAGTTCCGTTGCAGATAATTTGGCGTAATTGTTCAGAAAATGTCATAGAAATTTAAAAAAAATGAACTTCACAGGCTGGGAAATGTGACCCAAACAGGGTCTTTTTTATTTGTATTAATTTTACTTTAAAGGTTTACACAGAAATTAGTCCCTAAACCTGCAAAAACTAAGGTGGTAATTTACTTTTTTTTCTCTCAAAACTACAAATGGGAGGGAAAATGATATAGTGAAAGAGTCAGTGCTTGTCAGTTTTCTGTGCATCTGTTCAAGAACAAATGTTCTGTATCAGGTTAGAGGTTTTACTTGTGAAAGGAAATATTTTTTTTCCTTCATATAGCCTCAGCGGTTTACATGAGGAGGATGGTTTTGTAAAGCTACCCATGTCTACAGTTTACATTTTTGTTTCCTTAAGAGAATAAAGTGTTCTTAAATTTGACTCTGAAGCACAAGAAAAAGAAAAATCAACAAGTGCATAAATGTTTTGCAGYGTCAGTTTCATCGCTCTACCCATATTTATTCTACCTCTAACAGGTCTGAGCAGACCAGAGATATGAAAAGGTGTTTTTGTTATTGATTTGCATAAATATAGACTCACTGACATAATATATATGTTCTTTTGACATTTTAATAGGTGGGGCATTTAAATACTGACCTTTAACCACATGGGGGCAGCAGAAACAAGCATAACCACCTTGAAGAGCATGTTGAACACAATTATTTTTACATGATCAGATGTGTTATGATGAAACTTTTCTGTAACAGAAAAATAAGAATTTAATGAGCTAACATTCTATTAATTATTGTAAGAAATGTTCATTTAAACAAATTCACCCAAAACATTTCTTAAAAATAACAAATTCAGACATTTTAGTTTTAAATAGT